CCGGCACGAACATTACGATACGCGACACCTCTGGTCTGCTGCATGGACAAACCTGTATCGCAACTTTGGACATCGTACGACATCGAGGGCCGAGAGTTCTTATGCAACTATTAAGCGACGGATCACGCTTCGACGAGGCGATATAATGAATACTATCGATCAATTAACGCATTCAATCCGTCGTACAAACCATGAGGCTACTGTCGCAATGGAGGACTCTGCAATTCGTGTCAATCCGAAGTATCGCGCCGTTTTCTCTCCGGAAGTGATCTAACATGTTTCTCCGCAAGCGTTTAAGAAGATGTATCGAAGCATCATTCGAATCAGGCTTGAAGAACGTCGACGGAGAGATGAAGAGCGGCGACAGAGAAATGAAGAGAACTCAGGAGATTACTCGAACCAGTCTCCGTGAACACACATACATCAGACCTCTCTTGGACTTCCTTGCTTCCATTCTATTCGACATTATCTATCACAAAATACGCAAATCCAGCTTCCTATGATCGACTCCTATTGGTTTTACAAGCTACCTACACTCCCACCACCCGGATCCTTCGCGACAGTACGCGATCCAGCTATGGCACGACTTCCTCCTGGACTAAGAGACCGGCCAAACAACCCTTCTTCACGTCGACTCCCGTCTGCCTTCGAACAGGTACGTGCAACACCATTGCGACACCAAAGATCGGTCGGAGGAGCACAGCCCCAGCCAGCCCCTCCGCCGCAGATGGACCGGCAGGTAATTACGGAAGAAGCACGAAGGTTACTTGCGAACTATCGACCAGGGGAGACGTCATTCAGCGATCTCATCCAAGAGCGCATCAGCGGCCTTACGCGGCTACGCCAGCTTCTTTTGAGTGAAACGGGGACCTAAGTTAGCATATTTGATCGTCCGTGATCCTCTGTATGATTAGATACATTAAATTACAGAGTTTGAACGCAGAATGGTCGGCTTGACTCGTATAAAGCATCATATACTGGACCATCTCAATCTGCGTCAGAGATTCGAAGCAGGCTGGCTAATCGAGGCGTCGCGAGGCGTCGCGAGGGATGACTAAGCGCCTCGCCTCGCCTCGCCTCGATTGCATACTAAACCGCCTCGCGACGCCTGCTGGAACCATGGTTGAGCGTACCAAAAGATGAAATTCCGTAATCCTGTATGCCATACAGAGGTCGATATCACGGTGAGGAGGATGGTAAAGACGGTGGTGGTGAAGATCGCATACTATATTCTCCTAGCTAGACTCCTCCTCCTCGTCGTCGTCATTATCCACCGCTAGATTCGCCTGTGAGAAGACGATCTTCTCGAGATCAAGATCACTAATAATACCATTTCTAAACCAATGCTGTAGACACACCAACTTCCTCAACGTCTTCGCGTTCATACGGGCTCTCTCTGTGTCCAGGAGTCGCCCACAGGAGGACCATATCCGCTCCATATCCGCGGCGGATGCTGGAGTGGCAAAAAGGTCCATAGCGATCCTATAGAGAGCTGGAAATCGCGTACGATTAGCAATCCACCATTCCATAGGGGCCTTCATCTTCTCCT